CCACACGGCCGCCGTGCGTATAGCCATATTGAATCTTATCCACACGGCCGCCGTGCGTATAGTCTCGGCCAACACCGAACGCCGCATCCGCCGAAAAAAAACGTAAGGAAAAAAAACGTATAGGAGAAATCGCAGCCAGGCGAATCTGTTTTCCGTACACGTTATATCCATTGCAGAGTTTTGGGCGCCTCTGATTGGCTGATACATCAGAAAAGTTACTTATCTACCATAGAGGCTGTATAAAGATAGGGTTCGATTACTCGCGATAGGGTGCGCTAATCAGGAGCGTATAATGGCAAGTATTTGGTTACGTGACGTTTTGTGGTTGCATTATTTAATCGAACCCTATATTTATACAGCCTCTATGGTAGATAAGTAACTTTTCTGATGTATCAGCCAATCAGAGGAGCCCAAAACTCTGCAATGGATATAACCAAGAGCAGATAATAACACATGTGTTATTATCTGCTCTTGATATAACGTGTAGGGAAAAAAATTCGCCTGGCTGCGAATTTTTTTTCATACACGATTTTTTTCCTATACGTTTTTTTTTCCTACACATTTTTTTCCCTCCATTGGGCTTCTCTGATTGGCTGCTTTGATGTCTTGGGCAGATCGAGATACTAATCCAAGTACTTGAGTTAGTATCTACGGCTAAACAAACAACTGTCATTCATGTCCAAGCGGCACGCAGCACAATGCGTTTGTATATGCGCTTGGTGTATGCCCTTGAGTGGTGTATTGCATATGAGTATATGCGCTTGGTGTATGCGCGAGCGCGAGCGCGAGCAGCATATTTGTGTTGGATATGCGCTTGGTGTATGCGCGAGCGCGAGCGCGAGCAGCATATTTGTGTTGGACTTTCTTCGATCAAGTATTAACGAAGGTAAGTTGTATTTTGTCTAATATAGCTTATTATTGTTTAGTCTAATTTTTGTTTAGCTAAATTTACCTGTTTGTTTATAAATAGACATCTTAATTCTGCTAAACGAAAGATGGTTCGCTACGCGGTCTATCAGCGTTTCGGGCGTATGAGTGGAACATCGTCAGCAATCTTGTAATTCTGGTACAGGGTAGCGAAGGAGCAGTGTAG